AAGAACGAAGGATCATAGAGACAACATAAAAGAAAAGAAAAAAAAATGGAAAAAAGACAAAAGAAAAAAAAAGGAGACAGAAAAGGACTCGTCGTTGCTTTTAAAAAAATTTTCCACAAATCGAACCCAAACGTAATACGAGACGATCGATTGACAAATCCTCATAGTCTGTTTACGAAAAACCGTACGAAGGTAAAGGGAAATAGGAAGAAGAAATCATCGATTTATAGCAAATACGAATATGAAAAGAATTAACATAAAGAGAAAACGGAAAGAAGAAAAAACGAAAAACCAAAAAACCAAAAAAATAAATAAATAAATAAACAAAAAAACGCATCGTCGCAATGATAGCGACAGATATAAACGCATGCATGTATGATGTAAGTACACGAAAAAAAAAATTAAAAAAAAATAAAGTAAAATAAAATAAAATAAAATAAAATAAAATAAAATAAATAAATAAATAAATAAAAATAAAATAAAACAGTAGCACCAACATGGTTTGCACACGTAGTTGAAAGAAAAGAAAGAAAAAAAGGAAAAAAAGAAAAATAAAAAAAAAAAAGAAAAATAAAATACTTAAAGGAAAAGGAAAAAGAAAAAAAACGACAACAACAAGAACAACAACAACAACAACAACAGGTGGGAGGCAAGAATTTGAATCAATGAGAGGCCTTGATTCAACGATCTTTCTAAGCAGAATCCTTACACGTTACACCACACATGATGATGTACTTGTAATTTCGTTGTTTATACATAGTTTCAATAAAACAACCACAACGATATCGTTGAAAAGCTGCGACGATTTTTCTCTAGTTAACCAACGTTTCGAATACTTTTCAACAATTCAACGATTTCAATAGGTACATACATATATATCTATATGCACACACACACACACATATATATATATGCATGTATATATGTGTACATGTATTTACTTAGGTACGTTTAACGTAACAGTATATACTGTTTATATGGTTTGTAATGTATGTATACTCATTCGATTTCATATATTTTATTTTATTTTATTTTATTTTATTTTATTTTATTTTTCCTTTTTCATTTTCTTTCTTTCTTTGTCATCTCGCATCACCCACGTAAGAATGACATTTGAAAGGAAATGACGACTTCTTTCATATGACTTCGATACACCGAACATCGTATCCCCTTTTTGGTGAAAAATCATTGTAATCGTTGAAATTTTGGCGAATTGGTCTCGATCGTGACCGTATCTGCTAAATGTATCGATTTTTGCCTTTCCACTGGAACGATTACTTTTTCTAGAGGACGTCTTGAATTTGAAATAAATTTTACATTGACTAACGAACCACCTTTCCCTTCTCATTTTCTCTTTATCTTTCACATTTATATTCTCGACATCGACGTGCGTTAACAAAATCTAACAAAATTCATTAGTCTTAAATAGATTAAAAATTTGAACTTCGTGTGACCACGAAAGATAATAAATTTCGAATTAAAATTCGATTTCGAATTGGGGAAAAGTGGCATGTACTTTTAATTTTCACGTATTTTATTTTTATAGGAACGAATAATAGCACGTTGTATATTTTTTGATTACGAAAAACTAGAACGCTTCAGTTTAATCCGTCACGAAAAGAACCGCGTTTCGATCATTAGTCGCAAAAAGTAGGAACGTTTCATTTCTGAAATACGCCACTCTTCGTAATATTCATTTAATTGAATCGTAATTAATTGAATCGTAATTAATTGAATTGTAATTAATTGAACATAATTTAGAGAAAAAATAAAACGTCCTACTTTTCGTAACAATATTAAAAATAAATTACTATTGTTCGTGACGAATTATAAATCGTGTTGGTTACATCGCGATTAACGTCGAACATGCTACTTTCCCGTGAATGTAATCGAAACGTGCTTCTATTCGTGACGGAATATTAAAATGTCCTAGTTTTCATAGTCACGTATGTAGAATGTATCGACGTGCGTAACGAAATGTAACGTGTTTCATTAGTCTTACGTAGTTTAGAATTTTGAACTTTGTGACCATGAAAAACAATGTTTTAATTTCGTTCGAGAAATGTGATATGTATTTTCATTTTTAAGCGACGAATAATAGCACGTTATCTTTTTTTTTGTGGCTAGAAAAACTAAAATATTACGGTGTAATACGTCATGAAAAGAAATACGTTTTAATTATTATTCGCAAAAAATAACATTTCACTAGTAACGCCAGTCTTCATAAGATTAATTAATCGAACATAATTAATTGAATGAAAAGTGAAATATTCTACTTTTCGTAGCAATGTTCAAAATAAGTTAATATTTTTCGTTCAAAACGTATTACTTATCGCGAACATAATTTAAACATGCTTCTTTTCATAATAAATGTATTAATTTTCGTAAGACTATTGAAATGCGTTATTTTTCTTAACGCACGTCGATATATAAATGCGTTCATTGTAATATTGTAACACTTCCTTCCAAGATGACGATATTCATAAACTCGTGAATAGGAAATTCAAATTCGTTTTACAGGATACCCTGATGGAATGGAATCCTAACTAAACAACTTCTCAAACGAATAGGTGTCATAGAGAAATGCATGACTTAATCAAAGGAATAGAATATGGATGTAGGACACAGCTTGTTGGGATAATCCTTACTGGATATCTAATTTGAACGTTATCCATATTCTATGTCCGGTTCAAACAACGTCCCCAAATCAAAGATAGTTGAGAATATTCCCAAATGTGTGGTCTCTCTATTTATCATTTCTGTAAATTCATTTTCATGTGCAAAACCAAGTTATAATGATTTTGCATGCCATAAATCTTTTTCTTTTTTTTTTTTTTTCATAATTTAATATTATATTCTATAAAATGGTAAATTCATATTTGATATTTATTATTTTAAAACAATTAAAGTTTTTTTAATTAATTATTCGTTATTTCAAATTTTTATAATTACAATCAAACGATGCGCCATGTTAAAAAGTTATAATTCATTAAAATTTCGCATTTTTATCATATTATTCTCATCCAATCATCGAAATTAAAAAACACTGGATACGGTCAGTACTTTACAATTAATGAACGATCCACTTGAGAACTGTGTGCTGTTGACTTTTTATCTTTGTTTTTTTTCTGCTCTCTCTTTAAAACTACATCGTATAATTATTACGTTTCACTAATCTCTCTCCTTCTCTCCGTCCCCTCTCTCTTTTTTTAACCATTTTTTAATTTCATAATAACAGTTTTAAAAACTTGACCCATTTTTTATCCGATTGCTTAAATTATTTAATTAATTATATAACTTAATATACTTATATAAAATATTAATTTTAATCAATATTAAATATTACTTTTTAATTATTATATTCAATCAATTTAAAGCTTTAATTTATCAGAAAAATTAAAAATTTATTATAATTATTAAGATAAAACTTCCAACATTTGCCGCTGGCGGTAATGTGATCGACATAACAGGGCAGACGTAAGATCGTCAAGGCCCTTACGCATTAGAAATTCGAAGAAATTTTATCTCATGAAGAAAAAAAAACTTGGAATTTCTTAAATTGGAATGATCTCACATATACCGAGTGAATCACAAAACGTGATCAGCTTACATTAGATCATTCTGTTACTATTGAATCAAACGAAAATTTGTTATATAATATAATTCAAACAAAGCTTTAAGATGATAAAACTTTTTCTCAATTCTTTTATTTTCGAAGTTTTTAAGGTTAAGTTAAAAATTTTTTTTTCTTTTTTATAAATAAACCTGTAAATCTTTTTACATCTATCTTTTAATAGATATTGAAACGAATTCGGCAAATATTATAAAAAATATCTTTTCTTTTTTCATTTCAATCAAAAAAGAAAAAACATAAAAAATTAATAATAATAATAATAATAATACTTTGTCAAATTTAAAAGTTCCGTAAAAAAAGACATGACAAAAGATTTCTTTATTAACGAGGTACATATATCGCATGTTACGCCGTTGTACGCTTTCCGGAATTGTTAATATACGTAGAGTAGTATTGAGTCATTATTGACTGTTTGTAAATATTTCCTTGTATACATGGAAACGTATCTAATGATATTGAAAGTTCCAATAACATTGGAAAATATACAACGGAGAATTAATTATAAATGCATCGTACATCAATGCATATGGATGCCGTAAAAAAAATTGAACAGTCATTTATTTTCCATTTTTAAATATGCACCTGATAAATATCATTTTGAACATCGTTTCAATTAAGATAAAGGATATTCTTTTTTAATATTTCTTTTGGTTCAAATGAGAAAAGTAAATAATAATAATAATTTATAATAATTTACTTGTTGAATTTGAAACCTACAGGATAAAAAAAGAGTTAACAAAAAAATTTACCGTAATCATTTTAAAGGCTCCCTTAGAACTACATCATATCAGAAAAAAAATATTTTCGATCGGTCTACAACCAACAGAATAATCAAACAATAAATTGATCACGTTTCGTGATACACCCAATATATATATGTGTCGAATAACTTCAGAACACTTCTCGGCGAGAAAGCGAGAGAAAGAAAAAGAGAGAAAAAAAGCGAGAGAGAGAAAGATAATAAAAGATAGCTATGATTGGTGGAGGCAAAATCGATTAACCAATCACTGCCTTAAGAATCAAAATATAAAATATTTGTATTTTTCATAATTTCAACCATGTTTTAAATTAATTTTATATTTAAATTTACTTTTTCGATTATAAGAACAATAATTAAAACGAATAATGCTATAATATCTGTAAACGAAAAACATATATAAAGAATAAGAGAGAGAATGAGAGTAAGAAAGAGAGAAAATGAGAGTAAGAAAGAGAAAGAGTGAGAGCGAGAGAGAAAGAGAGAAGGATGTGAATGATCGTTTCCCCTTATAGATATGAATCGATGTTTAATATCGATTTATGTTGCTTGCGATAATCGAAAAAATTGAAAGAACGCGGTACTTACAAGTTTTAAATATTTATCATTGTATATACATTGGATAATTATGAATTTTTTTATTTTTAATTTATATTTGTAATTTTATATATACCAAAACTTACATGATCAATCATAATTATTAACTTTTATATCATGTATCTCGATTAAACATTGCAATCAGATATGAGTTAAGAAATGTATTTGTTTCACGTAGCACGTGTCACATATAAAGTGCGTAGATGTTAAATCAATTAATAAATAATAATTAAAGTGAATTTTATAATTCCAGGTATGATGTAGATGAATATATATAGATCAGATATAATAAGGATTTAAATATATCATGATTTTGCATTAATTAAGGCCCAATACGATTAAACTTGTTATTTATACGAACGAAAAGGAATTTTTGATTATTTTATCAATTATATACTTCAGGACTTTTAATAAAAAGGTAATATAATTAAATATTTCTTTTCATTGAAAGACACTGTTAACCTTTAGTTAAGTAATATTTTTTTCCTTTTTTTTTCAATTTCCATTTTCGATTTATCCAGGTAAATAAATTTATTTTAGTCAAAAAAAAATATTAAATTATCATAGTTTTATATTGATATAAAATCTAAATAATTATATATATTTATTTATAAACATACATATATATATATAGCGATTTTTGTATATGTATTTGTTTTAAAATTAAATAAAAAAGAATTACAAAACAGTATATAAATAATAATAGATATATTAGAAAAAGTAAATATGCAGACAAGAAGGAAATGTTCTCAATCTTATAAGACAAAAATTACAAAAGGAAATTCTAATCGTAAAAAAGAAAATTTATCAATACAATATAAAAATTTACAATCAAAGTTAGGATTGAAAGATCTACGTATCATCTTGCGTGATATTGCTGCAGACAATTTAATTCCATCACATCAGCAGTATTTGATTACTAAAAAAATTGACTCTGCAAAGGCAATTAATAAATGTAAGATAAATACAAATAAAAAGACCAATCCAAAGAAAAGAAAATCTTCAGTTAATGGTAAAAGAAAATTAATACATTCTAAAGTTAAATATTCTTCTAAAACTATTAAAAAAAAATCTTCCTCAAGAACTATTAAAGAACATGGCTCAAAGAAAAGAAAAGAAACAAAAGAAAAAATAGACAAACAACTAAATGTTGATACAAATCCATCGTATACAAAAGAACAAGAAACTTATTTTGTTAAACCCTTACTTTCTATTGATAATGACAATGTAGAAAAATATAAATTAGATATAAATGATACTGTTGAATATACACAGAAACACAAACATACAGATTTATCTATTGTTACCACAAATTGTAATACAAATTTATTTTCTGATATATCTAATGAAAAAGTATCAATACCTTATATACATATTAAGAATGAATTAAAGAAGCAAGATTTAAATTCCAAAAAAAATTCTGAGATTGACTTTATTAATAATCAAAATTTAAAAGATAAATGTTTGGATGAGAAAATGCATAGAAAATTTTCAGAAGAAATGCAAATTGTTCCATGGACTTCAAAAGACATAAAAAAAATGGATGTTCAAAATTCTGAGAAAAAGAAAATATTACCAAAAATAATAAATAATATTCTAATTAAAAATATAATAATATTAGTAAAGGAACGTGATAATAATAGTACACAGATATCAAATAATTCACAGCATATGAATCATTCTACAGATATAGTATCAAAAGTAGATATTAATGAGAGTTCCTTGGTTAAAGTATCTAATAGAGTAGCCGAACTGACAGTAGATAATGTACATGAGTTTATTGAAAATCACGAACAGAGTTATTTGTTGCAACTACAGATTAATAATTCATCAAATATAGCTGATATAAATGTCTGTAACTCAGTTAATGATAAGTATACTAATACAGTGTTACAACTTAAAAAAGATGATAAATCTGTTTCTCATAAAAAAAGAAACTGGTTTGGACAAAAGGAAGAAATGCTATTAAATAAGACTGGTAATAAAAAATTTAAACTCGATAGAACATATATACAACAAAAAAGTTTCAGTATGAAAAATAATTTTCTATTTAACAGTAATAACTCTAATTTATTTTCCAAATGTGATGACGTAAATGTAACTGATAATAATGTGTTACAAAATACAGATAATCATATAACTTTGAATTCTAATAATGATACTAATAGTAATACTTCATATAAAATACAAATTATGCAAGAATCAATGAAGGCTGGTTTTGATACAAAGAATGTTTCTAATAGTTCATACACAATATTTGATTTAGATAATGAAAAGAATGAATCGATACCAACGAAAGAATATAGTACAAATACAGAAAATATCGATGAAGACAATTTGAATGAAGATAGAATATCAGCTTGCAGCATACAACCAAATGAACAAAAACAAGTAGAAAATAGAACACAAGGTGATAGTAGTGACGATGATTGTATTTCCTTATATGCCGAAACATTCACATCTCGGTAAGTATATTAATGTTATTTTATATAATTATATATGTTAAAATCTTTTTTAATATTATTTGATTATAAGTAAAAATTTTTAACTTTTTTAATTGGAGTGTGGATTACTTTAATAATATGTTAAATACTTTAAATATTATGTTAAATATATTAAATATTATGTTAATAAATATTTATTTTCAGAGATGAGACTTTTATATTAAATAATGAAACTAAAGCAATGACTGATTGTAAAATGATAGAGAAAGATCAGAATACTTTTGGTACAAATATACAACATAATATTTTAAAATGCTCTAAAACATTTGATACTATTGCAGAACCAGATATTTCAATAAATAAAGAATTTTCAAATTCAGAGGACATAATAAAATATGACAATACACAAACAAGTCATATTTCTTCTACGGAAATATTACTTGCTAATTCTAAAACTATTACTTCTATTGATTCTGTTTCAGTAAATAATAACAAAAACTCACTTCTTAATAGTAATTGTAATGCATACAATGCTAATATTGTTTCTAATGATAAAACTGTAATTCAACATATTGAGAAAATACAACTATGGAAATATAAGATATATATAAAGGGTTATTGTTATGGAATGATAAAAAATGGTCTTTGCCTTAAAAAGAAGTGTTATTACGAACATGATGTATGTAAAACTTTTTTTAATGCTATTTATAATCATAAATAACTGATATAACGAATTTTTCAGAATAAATAATAACAATTTTTTATATTTTTTTCTTTCTTTCTTCTTTTTTTACAGTTACAAAAATTAATTGATAAAATTATTTATGAATATAAACAACATCTTACGGATATAATAGATTATTTATGGTCTTTGGGACATATATATTTTATAGAAATACTATATATTCGTATTGTAGAAGAACTTGATATAACTTCTATTATGAATATATATGAAAAGTTTTATTTACAAAAAAAAGTACATTTACAAGTTATTTCTGCTACTATAAGAGCATTCTTGAATAAGGGAATGAATCCAAGTCATGTAGTAAATAATTTATGCAAAACTCTTACTTGTAATGATAAATTAACACCATATTATATATTAATATCAATCAAACAAAGAATAAAGTCTGATGAATATTGGAACACCTTGCGTACTCTAATTAAATTTATAAAGCCAGACAAAGAAATTATTGAAACAATATTAAATGATTGCATAATAAATCGCCGTAATATTCAAGATGTTTATATAAATTTAATAAAAAAGTTACATACTAATGAAATATATCAATTGGATACAAATTTAATGTCATCTTTTAATAATTTATTACAACATGAATATCAAAATTGCTATGATGAAATGTCTTCAAGATCAGTAGATAATAATGAAAGCTTTTATAATAAATCATATACGTTACATTCAATTAGTAAGTATTAAAATAAAACAATAATAATACATTTAATTTTTATATCTACATAAAAAGTATGATACAATATATTATTATAACCTATTTAATATTCTTTGTGCTACTTGTTTTATAGGTAATTTATCTAAACCACATTCTCTGTACAGAAATAGATTTCGGAACTTATATCTGATGCTAAATAATCTAGAGGAAAAATTATTACATGAAGATTATGACTATGTTATTAATATGTTAAATATATATCAAGAAACAGATGATAATCAATCATTATATTCTCGTAGCTGTTTTCGAATATTCTGTGCGGAAATAAAGCATTCAGAATATCATATATCTAAGATTATTAAACGTGCAGGTAAAATCAATAGAAATTCATTGGTACAATATTTTAAAAAATACTTATGTAATAATATGTAAATTATAATATGTTATAATGTATAATGTTCTATAATATTTTTGATAAACATGATTTCTGCTGTTTTATTTATGAAAGAATAGAAAAAGATATACTACATTGTAATTAAAAATACACTTCTTTTTAATTTCAAGTATATTTTGTTTACATAATAATATAGAATTTTTATAGACCTTTAATATGGACCAAAAGCAATATTTTAATCGAAGATTACTGTCGACTTTATACTTAAATCAGTAAGAATAAGAAAATAAGATATTTTAATAATAGATATATTACATTATATTATTAATTTTACATATATGTATAATATAGGTAATAATACAGAAGAAAGATTTCTTATTGATTATTTCAATTACGAAGCATAATTGCATTCCCTTATATGTAAAATAAACAATTGTATCAATGTGTAAAACATTGATAATAAAACATTATTATCATATTAGTACATAGATTTTTTATTAATTTAATTATTCTTACTAATAATAAAAAAATATAATTTTATAATAAAATAATAAATATAATAATTTTAATAATAAACATAATTATAATAATTTTATAATAAAATAATAAATATAATAAATAAATAAATATAATAATTTTTCATTTTTGGGCTTTTCAGTCCAAACAGGTGCAATCAATGTCGTATGTAAAATATTACTGGATGTTGCCATATATATTTTAACGAGATTAGTTGTAGATGAAATTTGGATACAAGCATATAAATTACTAAAAACCTTACAAATATGTAATGTACATTATGATGCTGCTTTTGTTATCTTGTCAGCTGAAATTTATTTAGCAAATAATCAAGCTATTACAGCATTCATGTTACTTAAGCGTAAGTTTATAATTAGTTATAAAAATTCAAATATTAAATAGTCAATTTAATTATGTATTGAGCCTGATGCAACAAATCAAATAAAAATACTATCTATAATTGAAAAAGTTTACCATACATATTATATAAAATTTAATTATTTACAGAAAGCAATATAATAAGTACAAATCGTAAAAATTGGAATGTCATAAGTAATTCTGAAGATTATTATCTTAGAACAAAGATAATAAGCATTTTATTGGATGCACTTTGTGAAAAATCTTCAGAATATGTATTTTTTATGTTTCAATTTTTAATCAAAGATCAAGCTAATAGTTTTGAGCCTATAAGTAAGAAATCTATTGATACTTTAATTTAATTATAATAAGTAATTATGCAACAGTACGAATGTATATTTTTTTAATTAAAATATAAAATATATTTTTTATAATTTTTTATACTTTCAGATCTTGCATGTTATGTAGACAAATTGATGCTAAAATTTTTAACAAAGAAAGAAACTGAGTTGATTGTTAAAATGGGATATATGATAATTGAATATAACTTCACATTTGCTAATAATTTGACGTGTCGTGCTGCAATAGCAACTTTAGTTCACAGTAATATGATACTTGCTGAACGATTGTATCAATATGCATCCGGTCTTGGCATATATAGGACAATAGAGGTAATTTAAAGATTTTTGTTTTACGATTTAAGAAAAAAAAAATAAGATAATGATTTCTTTATTTTGTTTGAATTCACATATAACTAACTACATAAAATAATATCTATTAAAGATATCATCTTTCATACAAATCTTAATAAATGCTGATTGGGTAGAAGAAGAAATATATCTAATGTTTCTGGGTTTTTTTCGAAGACTCGCCATGAATGTCGGTCATAGTATCGATCGTTTCAACTCTACGCAATTATCTATATATATTATTTTTGAGGTAAATGTTATCTTATATTATAATGAAACTTCTTTCTAAATTTCTATAATAAGCAAGTTGTTTAATAGGATATACCAACAGAAGCAAACCTTTATCATGAAAAATCCTATGATCAAGAAAAAAAACAAATAAACATTAGTAAACAATTGGTAAGACAGGTATTACGTACTCGATTTGATCCATCATTAACAATGATAGGAAAAATAAATGATACAATAATGCAATTGAACATTATGTCAGTTATAGATTATTTAAAGTTTGTATTGTAAAAACTATATTTGATAAAAATGTATACTTCAAAGATATTGTTTCAATCCAGATATATATAAAAATTTTATAAGAAGATTAAGAACAATTCTTTAAACTTATTTGTTTATTAATCTCATTATATAATATATCTACAGTATGTTAGGATGTATTTATAGACTATACAAATTGTTCAAAAATTAGGATCTAAGTACTATTTTATGACAAATATCTACATACAAAAATACGTTGGTATAATCATTAATAAATTTCTATGTAATTTGTTAATAATAATTTTCTTATCTATTTTGTTAACAAAATTTTCTTATCTCATCATCAATACTTCTAAGTAAATGTGAGAATTGAATAAATAAAATGGTATATGTTGTAATTAAAATAACATTTAATATAACAAAATAACGTTTAATCTTTAATGCAAAAGAAATTATAAAAATCAAATATGATTTATATTACATAAGAAGTATATTAAAATTATTATGTGATTATACTAACTATTTTTCTTTATATAAAATATTGTTTATATGTCAAAATAGATGTAGGGATGTAATTATATATACATTTTATATATATATATATATATATATATATATATATGTATGTATATGTATTTGTACTAACTTAATCAAATTCAGGTATATCATCGAAGGAATAACCAGGTACTTTTTGATAAGCTAAAATAGCAACTCTCATATGGTAAGCTCCAGGTATAAACATCAATGCTCCTAGAATAATCACAGGCCATATTCGATCAGAATACTGGAATCGAAGCAAATAAATTATATGAAGAGAATTAACATTATTTTGATGATACTTTATAATTTGTTATAATTTATGATCTTATAAATATATTATTTTTATATCTATATAACCATTCTTACAAGACATTTAGATGAATAAAAGGAAATTTTACTTTGCAATCAATGTGCCCGCTGATGATCAAGCTTCCCGTTATAAGCAAAACAGTTCCTCCCACAAATAAAAGAGCAGCTAGCATGATGGCTTTCCATGGTATTTTCACCGGTGGATTCACAAACTATAGAGGGGATGGTTAAGCGTTAATGGGTGTAAACCTGGATTACCTTGAACACGTTATATTTTAATTTACAAAACCAATAGCCGTATAACTTGTTTCATCCTGTGAATTTATTTATCTTTCTTTTTTCATAAAAGTCTTTCAACAGAAAATATTAGAATATCTTAAACTATTCAATCAAATAAACATTATTCATTTACCTGTGAATCTATAAAGCCATTGTCAGTTTCAGTCAGCTGTGTGTAATCCACGTTGTCAAATTGTCTATCTCCACCGATTTTTCTTCTAGACATGCTCACTTTATGAATATAATCTATAATAATAAGCCAAAAATCATTCTTTCATGATACACAAAACACTGAATTTAATGTTATCTTTAACCTATATCTATGAATTAATTTTATAAACGCTATAACATTTGTTAATATAATAACTTGTCAAGAGTTTAATTTTATCACCCGACAAAATAATTTTTATATTTAATTTAGAATATTATTAAAACGTTTACCGCAACGACGCCAATGTGTACATATATCTGTAATGACCTATCACATTTATCTTTGATCGTCAATGAGTAGTAAAACGTGCATTGCGCAGTTAAAGCTCGTCGATTATCATCCATGTTCATAAGAAATACTACTTTCGCGAAATCGACTTTCACGAGTAAACATTTCTGCATAATACATTTCTATACTCTGCGAATTGATTTTTCCTCGTGCAATAATACGTATAACATGGTTTCATTGAAATCGTGAAATGACAGAAGAAAAAGAAAAAAAGCTTTGAAATAATGAAAACGAGGTCAATCCTAAGGATAATGAAATATTTACAGATCAAGACTGTAATCACGAACGTATTTGTATTCTTAAAAGAAAATACATAGTAACGTACCGTTTACTAGAAAACTATAAAAAAAAAGTCATGTGCGAAAATCAATAAAAATTAACGATCAACTTTTATTGTACGTCATATCTCGTACGATCTGATTGAATAAATTTATAATTATTTTTATTCGATAATGTTTTCGTTATTGTTAGTATCCAAGAAAAATTATAATTATATATATATATATATATATATATATATATATATATATACGTATACATATATATATATATATGATATATTCACAAACATATATGTATTATTCAATGCTGCACGTTACATTATCCGTTCGATGAGTTGCGTTGACAGATGGCGATTGTGTAACACCAATACTGGTGCTGCCATCTTTGTAACATTCGAAACTAAGAAGCGGGAATTTGACGTATTGTTTGTTCCATCGAAGAAATATTAACGTCGTAATAGTCTACGATATGTAACGATCAACGACATTGTCATATCTTGTAAATTTAAATTATTACGTTTTGTCCAATAGAAACTTAATATTTTTAAATTACACTTTAAATATATTATGAATTATTTCAAGTAATATTAAACGCGAATTAACGCGATCATCTTATAAAATAATACAATATATTTGTGTTATTCAACAATCGAAGTGCGTTTATAGAAAACACTGTTAAGTGCCAGAATTTAAATAGTAAAAAAGAAAGAAAATTCCTTTTCTTTTTTTCTTTTGCTTTTATCGCATAACGACAACAGGAATACGAGGGTAGAAATAGAATTTAACTACAATTTCCCGTTTATAAAAAGTTACCAATAGCGTTAAAAGATGGTATCACTATCGTTAACGCCCTCGTCGTTCCTCGGATAAATTTTGTTTCTTCTTCCTGAAAAAAAACAATTAGATCTCCGGCACACTTACGAGTGTTTTCTACGAGTAATAACCTTTCGATTATTAAAAAAAATGACAGAAAACATGTACCTGCACCGAACCAGTTGGTCCACATATCAAAGAGCCTTAAGGAATTTATCAAAACGAATCACCATCAAGTATTTTTCTTCTTCGAAAGGCACGTAAATCGATTCGATGTTATTAAATAAACACGTTCCCTTTTCCGATAGCTACATAATTCCTCGTAACATATGTAAGTTAAAATAATCAAATTTTTTTTCGAACCTTTCTTTCTCTTTCTCTTTCTCTCTCTTTTTCGTTTATTATCAACAATTCCCCAGATAAATAGACGAACCTTAAAAGAACTTTGACCTAATTTTATAAATTTCAATGATCATATATATTACAATTAAATTTGAAAAATTTTAATTAATCGTTTAAAGATTTAAATGCATCATTTTCTATCTCTATCTCTAACTCTCTCTCTCTCTCTCTTTCTCTCTCTCTTTCTCTCTCTCTCTTTCTCTCTCTCCCTTTCTTTTTTTCACAATTATATTTCTTTTACAGATGCTTGTTCTTGTAAACCGATCGACGGTCCTCGAAAGGTGTTATCTTCGAATTCGTCCTTGATCGAAGAAATCCCTTAAAGGAAAAAGCACTTCAACGTGACTCTTCGATATATACGACCCTCATCGGCGAACGTATATCCTCCTTCATAACGCGTGAGAATTTTAAATAGATACGATTAACGACTACGTACATAGGAAACGAAAATAAGCGAAAAATCGCGTCCGTCCTTCCACTAATTTCGCTGGAATCGATCTGCGAGAAGCGTCGTCTAACGGCGTAGAGGCTGTGGACAGCAGTGCCGGCCGATTGCGGAGAGGAACCGCGACGCATAAACCGTCGCATCGTGCCGCACCGATCCGATTCTGATTCACCCTAGAAAACATATATCCAAGACGTTATATAGGGTGGAACCGTATAACACGTGACTTATCTCTATTCAAGTATCTCGACATTTCTTTTTTTCTCTCAAATCGACGCTCGAGAATATCGGTCGTTATAAAACGGTATGAAATTCTTTATAGATTATAAATTATATATTGGATGATGATAAAAAAAAAAAAAGGAAAAGAAAGAGATATCAAAGTCCATCAAGGAAAGAATATGAAACCGTGCAAACAGTTGGATGGGGGAGGGGAGATAGATAACGTTACAGTACTTTACCATGTATCACTAAAATTCTAATTTTTAAGACCATCAAACGACGATGGACGCTCAATTGGACGTTATAACTGTGTCAAATTATGTTTGTATGTGTGTGTATGTGTATAAAAAAAAATCCATATTTCACATTAGAACACAAACGTAGAATTATTTTAAACAATTATTAAATATTAATTTGATCCATCTTTTTTTTTTTTTACATTCAATTAAAATTCTATTATGTATATTGTTTTAGGTAAAAGAGAAAAAAAAGGTAATCCTAAAGGGTATTTCGCGAGATAAATACGACACTGTTGAGAAGGAAACGCATGCGCCAGGACGACCCGTACGACGGACAGTGCTCGGAGGATGACGGTGAGCCAGGGGCGGCAGTGCGGGTTTAGGGGGCGGCGAGGGCGGGTGCCTCCGTTGAAACAACCCCTTGACAACAGGCCCGCGATCAGTCTCGCCCTCGACGTGTCACCACTGTACTGCTCTCTCTCTTTCTCTCTCTCTTTCTCTCTCTTTCTCTTTTTCTCTTTATATATATATGTACATATATATATATATATATACATATATATATATACATATATATACATATATTTCTCTCTTTCTCTTTCTCTCTCTCTCTCTCTCTGTCTGTCTTTTTGTCTTTGAAAGAACAGAAGAGTCACTTTGTGATACAAGTTCTTTTTTTTTTCTTATCCTTTCGTAGGAACGTTTCTTGAAAAGGGATCGATCAATCGCGAACGTTCAGGATCATTACACGTATCTTCGAATCTCTTACTCGTTCGCGTGCCGTCGGTGCTTCGTGGTGCTTCGCCTGCTTTAGTGTGGCACCTCCGTAGACCGTCCTCGCTCATTCAGGTAAATCGATAGTACATACATACACACACACACAAACACACACATATTTGCTTTTCTTATAGGAGAAAAGAAAAAAAAATTAATAAAAAAAAAAGAAAGAAAAAAAAAGAAGAAGACGAAGTACTTCATTGGCCGTATAACTCAAACGTATCGTTCAGTGAATGAGGAGATAAAATTATTCGACTATTTCCCGGGTCAATTGAACACGACGTAATAATTTTATATTCTTCTATATCGATCTGAATGTTTCACCTACACGAAGACAAGATTCACCTCCTTTTTACCTATTTTTTTCTTCTGCTTTATTATTATTATTATTATTATTATTATTATTATTATTATTATTATTATTATTATTATTATTATTATTATTATTATTATTATTATTATTATTATTATTATTATTATTTTTAATACATAAGTGTTACAAAGATGTCAAATAAAACACGCGCGCGCTCGCGGCTTTTCAAAAGGATAAAGATATGCGATAGAAAAGCATAGTGCTTCGTGTTGTGACATCGAGAGGATGTCTTTGGATTATGGTATTAAAGCTATCTGTCGTAATATATTAAAACTTAGAAAAGGTCTTATCGAGGAATCTTATAATTTATAATATCTCTTTAATGTGTCTTCTTTTTTCTCTTCTTTTTCTTTTTTCTTTTTTTTTTGTCTCATTAATAATAAGGCAATAATAATTAGAAGCATATAAATCTAATGACAATTAATTACCTTCGATCGTTAAGTCCATCACGATTATCAATTATTTTAAATGTAATTTGAATTACTATATTTACATATGTTACGATTGATTGATTATTTATTATAGTTAATTATTATTACGTTATGAGATTAAATTTCATGTTCCACACATATTATTTACGTTAATATAAATCGTGTGGAATACCTGTTGATAGTGATTACGATAAATTTTTAAATGACCCGTTAATATTGTAACAACGAGACAAACGAATTGAACTATGCCATAATTTATTTTTCTTATATATAAGTGAGGATATGTTAAAGTTTTTGATCACTCTAATATCAATATCATTTGATAAACCTTTTTCTTTTCTTTCTTTCTTTTTTTTCTTTTTTTTTTGCTTTTGTGTAAATTGTAAAATGTAAATTATAAGGGAGTGTATCAAATGTAAAACAATGCGTATTATTTCCGCATTATATTCGCACGACTCATGGATAGTCGCTAAATTGGAAACCTTAGATTAACTGCAACTGCTGAATCTGTTTCACAAAGTCTACAATGACCCATATAACACAATCGAACTCTTTCGATATTCCTTTGAAATCAATTTAACTTTAATAATCATTACGACGACGATAAGAAATAAATGAAAAGATCAAAGTTTGAAGAGAAAAAACTTTTTTCATTTAGAATTCATTGAAAATTTGTCATTAAATAGAAAATAAAAATTATTACATTTCGATTATTTTATTTGTTTAAAAAACAAATGATATTGTATTTTTGAAATTTAGAGAAAAGAAAGAAATAAGAAAAAAAGAGAAGTATTATCACAAACCAGATACATATGTAATATAACAATTTTGATTATAATTATGTAAAACCAATTTAGATTTTATAAATGCAAACACAATCGTAATAGAACCATTCACGATTGCCTAAGACTTACGTCATTATGAAATCATTTGTAGGATTTATCGTAGCAAACAAAAACATTTCTTCGGGTTCGAATGAATGAATGCTACTCTTTATCGATGCGTACGTTAACCCACGTGTATCTGATCATATTCAAACTGTACTACTCAAAGAGCTTTAAATAATGTGTATGCAAAAAGGAAAAGTATTTTAAGAAGTAAGATTAATATATAAATATATATACGTACTTACATGCATCTTACATACGTCTTGGTACGTAAATAATTTGATACGTGTGCGCGTACGTACCGACGAACATCGCATGTGTGCGATCGCATTTTCATTCGTGCTTTATTACACATTTTGTTTCTTATCACGTTAAAGGTCATTCTATCAATGTTTATCACGTTAGTCTTATAAGGGTCAAAAAGGGCTGTCATCGACGTTGTAGATCGAAAAAGACGTTTATATTTTCTTTATCCCTTATAAACGTAAGAGTCTGCTTAATTTGTTAGGCCGTTTGCCTGTTTCTTTTCTTTATTTCTCTCTTTTTTTTCTTTCTTTTTTTTCTTTCTTCTGTGTATTTGTTATCACGAAGTTAATTTCAAATCGTTCGTTCCTGCGACTCCTTTAAATCTTTATCATCCTATTCTTATCCTAAATACACAAGAGTACCGTAAAACGAATGTGATATATAAATGAATATTTTCTATAAATAAAAATCGTTTAGCCAGTATTTTTATTTAATCAATGATAAGTATTCTTTTTTTTCTTTCTTTTTTTTTCTTTTTGTAAAATAAGTGGTCAGTATAAATAATTAAGTGTCAGGGTTGCGTCTGGATATCTAGGTCGCGTCTGGGTCGCGTCTGGGTTTATTATAAATACTGGCCGTATATATTTTAAATACCAATAAATTATTATTGTACATACAAATATTTTCATTGAAATATCTTTTTGCGTTAATCGATGTAACTTGATTACTTGTATTATATATCGATATTTCATGTATGAATACCCAAGATTCATTTATAATACTTATTAAAAAGATTTAAAAATACCGATCCGAATAAATAGAAGATCTGATTTTATTCGATAGAATGTAATAAGAAAATTGCTCGGTACAAATGGATTCTATGCATCGTGAATTAGATCAATTCAAATTTGAATAAGAAAATGTACAGCTTAATCTTTATTTTTCAATCAAAGTCATGGTATGTTATGAATTGAAATACTTATTGTCGAAAAATGTAATTCACTCAATTCGCGAGTACAAAAATCAAAGTTCATTTTGAATTTTAATGATATTATAAAATTACATTAAGACGGAATGATATATAATATGAAAGCTCAATTATCCCGTTATTCTTCATTTCAGTATGGAGTTCCCGAAAGCAGTGAAACGAGGCCGTAATTTTCGTCTGCTTACGGAGGAAGAGCAGCCGGAGCTTCTCGACTTCCTCGGAAAACACTTGCCCCTCTCGTTGAAGGTGTGTGCGTGTGCGTATACGTTACGATATACATATATATCTCTCTACTTCAGATGGTGGATAAGAATACGTCATGATCGATCTCATCGTCGATGAAAAGAATGTCGAACGTAATTACTTCCAAAAGGATATATACCCAGAGAGGGTGTACTTTAAAGTATTGCTTCCTCGCTGTTAGCGTTCAGGAAAATGGATTACGTGAGGACACGAAAGCGATGGAAAGAAAGAAAAAAAAGAAAAAAATCAGAAAAAAAAGAAAAACGAAAAGATTTCGAGAAATGTTCCATTTTACGAGGATCGCGATTTTTTTATCAACACTTGTTTGGTTGATGTGTCTTTTTTTTCTTTTTTCTTTCTTCTTTTTTTTTTTTTTTATTTTTTTATTTTTTTATTTTTTGACGGAAAGGCGTAACATCGACATGTGTTTACCCCTCCCTAAAAGTATAACGAATTAACTGCATCGTTGTAATCTACTCGAAATGTCAACCGTTAGGTTAGGTCAGGTTCAAGGTCATGCGTGATACGCACACCACAGTAATCTAAATCTACATTTAACATGTCTACATATGTACATCCGTACATACATATACATACATACATACATAAATACATACGTACATACATACATACATACATATATACCTACCTACATACAAACATACATACATACATATATATATATATATATATATATATATATATATATATATATATATATATACATGTCTGTAACTACTTGTTCGTGTCCATGAAAAGCTACGTATACGTCTATCAACGTTCTCATCATGTTAGAAAGACTGACGCGACACGACACGACACAACGCGTTCTTAGCGTAACATAGAGGTAGACTTACGGTACCAAGGAGTCGTGAAAGAGAGAGAGAGAGAGAGAGAGAGAGAGAGAGACAGAAAAAGAGAAAGAGAAAGAGAAAGAGAAAAAGAGAGAGAGAGAGTCCAAGGTCAGGGTCACGTTCTCGCACGCGGCTCTCCTCTATTCGCGAATCGCCGCAGTGCCGATCTGGCGACCTCGACTTTAGCCAGTTCGGCTTAATATTCACCTGCGCAACACACTCCTTTCGAGAGATTCGGATCTCTCCCACTTATATCAGGGATTCGTTTCCTTCCTCTTGTTCTCGCACGTTTTCTTCGGACAGACATATTTGTACATACATATATTCATATGTACATACGGTACATACGATACATACATAGTAGACATGTACATATACGAAACTCTTCCTCTGTCATTTTAAATATTCGCGTTGCTACCACGGCAAAACGATTTAAAGCTGCTTCGAACGCAACACTCCAACAACAAAGCGTCAGAGGGAAGAATCTTCATGAGTATCCATTAAAGTTCACCGTTTCCGGATTCTTTCACTATTCATACGTATACGGTTCGTCGATCGATTCATTCCTTTTAATTCTAGACCAAGCGTAACTCATTGACGTAAGCGATTTACAGTTTCACCCGAAATCCATCTAAATTTTTTCATGGAAACTTTAAATAATTGCCACAACAAGCGCGATTAGATAGGCTCGTGTAATATCCGTGGGAATGTAAATTTATCTTCTTCATTTTCTTTCTCTTTTCCTTTTTTTTTGTTCGTTCGTTTGTTTTTTCTTTTTTTTAATTTTTTTCTTTATTATGTACGATGAAGATAATAATCTGTCATATCCACAATTTATATATCTTTACGAATCCGACCTTTGCTTATTTTATTGCGATTTAACAAATTCGATATTATAAAGAATGACTTCGAAAAAATTTATTAGGAATGGCGTTTTTGCTTTTTTAAATGGACATTTAAATTTTAATTGGTTGCATTAAAAGATTCTCTCTCTCTCTCTCTCTCTCTCTCTCTCTCTCTCTCTCTCTCTCTGTCTCTCTTTCTCTCACTCTTTATTTCTCTTGTTATGCGTTTGCGTCATCATTTTGTTGACTCTTAATCATAAACATCTAATTCTCCATTGACAGTAAATTGATTAAAGAGAAAAAAATCATTTAAGCGTTCTCTTGTTTTCCAAACCTGTTCTTTCGAAATCATGTAAAGAAAAAAAAAAATATATATATATATGCCTAAATATATATATATATAAATATTTCTAAATATAACATATATATATATTTTTTTTTTCTATATTATATATATATAATAGATCGTTAGCCACTTGCGTATTTGCGTAATTTTTTGAAAAAGAAAAGAAGAAAAAGAAGATTAAAAAAAAAAAAGAAAAAGAAATAGGTTCTAATATCATCGTTAGAACTAATATCTTGGAACATAAATAATTAACATATATTTAAAATTCGATTTTGGAGAGTTTATAAAATAAAACGAAAAAGTTTTCGGTCGTTAAATTAGATAAATTTGGAAATTTTTCTCTCTAAAGTTCTAGACTTTCAATGATGGGTTTGGTCCGTTCTAAAGTCCATCGATTCGTTGCGAGAACGTAAAAGCGAATGCTTGCCTGCTTCCGTACGACCTTGACCCTTGAATATTCCTCTAGCATGTCACGAGAATACGAACTCCCGATTTATTTCCAGGATAAAAATTATACGGACGTAATACAATCGAGACGAAAACATGATTGAGTTTGGCGATTAACTGTTGAATCTATCATGACGATTTAATTCATTTGATAGTGTATATCGATTCTTGAAAAATAGTTAAAAAAAAAAACGAAAGAAAAAAAAGAAGAAAAAAAAGATCCGCGATAATAAAATCTTATTTCTCATTCGTTATTATATATGAAAACGAAATTCTATATGAATGTTAGGCTCGTCGAATTTTACTCGCATATAATGAAGCATGATTGGTAATAAATTTGATAATATTGCTGGCCATCGTATTTAATAGCCTCTTATATTAGGGCATTAACTATATCAATGTGTCAGTGTATGTGCGTGTGCGTGTGCGTGTGCATGTGCGTGTGCGTGTGCGTGTGCATGTGCGTGTACGTGTACGTGTGCGTGTGCGTATACGTGTGTTTCTATGTTAAATAAATAGAAATTTTTTTCTTTCTTTTTTTTTTTCTTTTTTTGCATAGATTTTTAATGATCGTGTTTCTACATAATGAAATACGCATAAAGTTATCGAGTTATATCAATTAATTCAATTTAAAATAAACAAGAAATATTTAGAAATTATGTGTATTAGATATTTAATAGAAAATAATTGAATAATTATATTTCGTATTATATATAACAAAATATCATATATAGAATATTTTCTTTTTTTTTTTTGTGTAGATATTAAAACTGGTTTTGTTAATTTTTACATATTCATTTTTATGCATTTATAAATTGATGATCGCAATAACGTTTTTAGGTTGTTTTTTATTTATATAATATATTATTATTTTTTTCTCATCGATTGGTGTCAAGGACCAAAGTAAAATGAAGAAGATTATTTCATAAAATAATTCATATATTGTTGGTACACATGTACAATATTGGACACATTAAATACCACTTGCTGGTTATTTTAAGATTTAACGTGTCTCGGAGTCATCGCCTTCGGACAGATCCGTTTTATTTGCTTCTTCGTTAAATATCTATTTTCAATCTTTTATTTTGATTATTATTATTCTTGGATTTTACTCAGATTAATTATATTAGGATCAATTTGATTTAAATTGAAAAAAAAGAACATAAAAATAAAAATAAATAAAAAAAAAGATAAATATTATACCATTATTTGTTCAAAATAAAATGACATTCTTTTATATGATTCAATGAGTTCTTTTTTTTTCCTTTTTCTTTTTTCCTTTTCTCTTCTATTCTTAACAATCGTCTTTCGTTTTACAGTTCCATCAGACATTGTTGACTTACATGAAGGACAAAGTATGGGAATTCTATTTTTATGTGCCAAACGAATGGCCGAACGTACAAATATGCCTGCACTTCCCTGGAATGACACTTTCTGTAAGTTTGAACAAAATTTTCTTTCTTTTATATATTTACATATATGTACGCGCGCACACACATACACACATACAAAACGTTCATATAACAATTATTATCAAATTCCTTTTGCACCGCTTATGAAAAAATGTACGAGATTACGAAAAAAAAAAAAAAGAAAAAAGATAAGAAATACGTACATAAATGATCCAAACATGAGCCAATAAAATGAAATGTCGTTCAAGTTTCGTACATTTCTTTTTCTTCCAAAAAAAAGTAAAAAGTAAAAAGTAAAAAGTAAAAAGTAAAAAAAAAGAAAGGAGACGTGGCTAGCGTGTTATAAATTTTGCTTCCTTTTTGGCATACCCTCTTACAGCCTTATGTCTTGAAGTAGAAAACGATTTAAGCAAGGACGATGCAGTTTAAGTTGTAAATTATAAAACATTGACATCCTTGATTGAATATACATACTTATAACAACGATGCAATAAGACAAACACAATGAAAACGGACATTTAATGCCATTTTACTAGTTCGCTTTGGATTGTGTCTGGAAATGACGTATTTCAAAAGAGAAATAGACAATCGGAGAGAAATAAAGAGAAAAAGAGAGAGAGGGAGAAGAGGTTGAGTGGGAGTTAGGGTACACAAGGATTGGCCCATATTCACAATTGGCCCTTCGCCAAATTTTTACTTCGTCCTCGAATTTGTCTTTCCTCTCTCTCTCTCTCTCTCTCTCTCTCTCTCTCTCTCTCTCTCTCTCTCTCTCTCTCTCTCTCTCTCTCTCTCTCTCTCTCTCTCTCTTTCTCTCTTTTCTACTTTCACCTCGATCTTCTATCCGACCACCGTTGACAACCGTTAATTTTATCTTGAATTATATTTGCTCGGTCAGTAATTACTCCTTCAAGTATCCAACTCTCTCTTTTTCTTTCTCTCTGTCTCTTTTTCTTTCTAAGCAGACACTACGGAGCCAAAAAAAGTGTGCTAACTCACTATCAAGGTTCTTTATCATTACTAAGAAGGAATAATTTTATTAACGTTTACATATATTATTTTTCAGCCTCATGGTTTGCTATACGAAAGCGTAGGGGTTTTCTGTCCTAACGATGAACTGGAACAACTTCATCTATTGCGTGATGAGGATGTACTGATCGATTGGTCAAGACCTCTTTACATTAATTTCGTTCACATAAACATCGCTAATAAGCTGGTAGAATTCTATAAGGATACCGGTAACGTCGATATGGTGATTGTCGATGTTTGGGCTTGCGAAAATCCACAACTTATGGATCAAAACGAGCAAAGTGAAGAGGATAGCGATCCGGACGTTCAAGTATTACCATTGAAGGCCGAACATGCTGAAGGAATTTATGAGCTATATCCCGCTAACGACATAGAAAGTCATGAGGTCTTTCTACGATTGATCAGGACCTTACCTGCCGGCGGTGTATTTTGTAAGGAGAGTTTAGCCGCATGGATGGTGCAGTCATATTACGGTGCTATGTTCTCGATGCAAACCAAGCCCGAGTATCGTAGAAAAGGTTACGGGACTAAATTAGCAAGGTAAGAGGATTATTTAATTGAAAAATAAATTGATCTAACGATATAATCAATTCACAATTTATTCTATTTGACGTGTCAATTATTAATAGAAACAACAACAACAACAACAACAAAAAGTGTCTTTATTGATAATACGGAGAATACAATTTTTCTTTTTCTTTTCTTTTTTTTTCTTTCTTTTCTCGAAAAAACCTTTTGTAGGTACCTGACGAAGCGCGTAGCCGAAAGAGGTTACAATCCGTTCGTAGTTATACGTCCGGAAAACGAGGCCAGCCAGAGCTTGTACAAGAAATTAGGTTTTAGGAAGCTATTTCAAACAGTTCGTATGATATTCACACCATTGTCGTGGCAGGAGACGGAAAACGAAGCTAGCAATATACTCAGGGAGAATTTGGAAAATGCGGTTAGACAACTGACCGTTGAACAGAGGGTTATAGCGGCCCTTCGTGGCGATGAGGATAACAGTATTGCATCAACCGAGATACAAGAAGCCGAGGGTGAAGAAACGATACGAGAAGGTGGTTCGGACTCTAACGAGGAAGCTGAAGTCGTTGTAGAGGAACCGGAAGAAGAGAGTTATGCTACTCGGGACGAGGAAATTCTTGAGCCTATCGAAGAACAAGAGGAAAGGATAGAGGTGATCGAGGAGAAGGAAGACGAAAATAAAAAACAAAAAGACGTCGTAGTGACCGAGGAGACCGAAGAATCGTCAAACGTTAACGATAGCAACGAAGGTGATGGCGGAACGGATATCGCGAATAACGACGATTAGATCTGTTGTTTACGATCGAAAAGGAAATAACAAAACAAACCAAAAAAAAAAAAAAAAGACAGAGGAAAAAGAAAAAAAGAAAAAATAACAGTCCATGCCTTTTGTCGTTCTTATTTACTCGAAGATTAATTCCGTTCTGTGGTTACGCGGGCTAAAACGCGAATAATAGCATGCGGGGGAAAACGCGGACTAAAAATAATGTGTTCGTTTATTAATTTAAGAGAAATATCTTTTTTCTTATTTTCTTCCTTTGTAAACTTTTTATTAGATCGGAACTGAAAACTATTCAATATATTTTCGGTATTATTGATTGTAATAATGTTTATTTCTTTTGAACTAGATAGAAACGAGCACGTTATTAAGTCATTTTTAACATACCAATAACGTATGTTCGTCCTCTTCGAGTAATCCGTACGACGAGGTAAAGAAAAAAATAAAGAGATATTTTATGAAATTTCCGCGTTTCCGCACCGAGCTCGCGCGAGGTTTCAAAATGCGTACGTATTTGCGTATATATATGTACGTCATATACGACGATTTTTCATATCAAATTCTTACAAGGAAAGTCTTAGAAGATAAAATAAAAACCTGTGTAAAAGAATATCGACGATTGTAAAACTTGTTCTTAGTTTTTTAACATCTTTATATGATAACATCAATGAAGTAATACACAATGACATAGAAAAATTTACCGTATCGTAATATCGCATCGTTGAACGAGGAATACGAATTAAAATCAGAACGTGTATATAAATATTAATGTAATATGTATATATATATATATACATATTATATATATATTATATATATATGTATATGTTACATAATTTTATTTAATAATTTATGCAGAAAAGAAAAAATCACATATGTGGTAATCTTCGAAAACTCGCACGGGTACTGATCTGTGATTATAATTTTTTTATTTTACATTTTATTACTTTTCTTTCTTATTTTATTTTTTTCATATAAAATAGAGATAAATGTTAGTAAAAAAAAAAAAAAAAAAAAAAACCTCGCGCGATCACGATACGCTTCCCTTTAACATTACGAAATAGATTCGACTCGCTGTGTCGGTGCAACCGATATTAGAGATTATAAATAAAGCCAAAAAAAGAAAAAAGGAAAAAAAAAGAAAGAAAGAAAGATAAAAAAAATGGAAAAAAATAAAATTAAGTAAATAGGTAACTAATTATAGAACAATCGCTTTTGCACGGCATTGGCGCGAGCGCGAGCGATTTGAGTTCCCCAATCGACCGAAGAGAAAGATATTATATAAAATTATATATATATATATATATATATATATATATATACATATATATATATGTATGTATGTACGTATATGTATGTATACATATATATGTATAATTTTATATCGGCTGATACGACTCTTTTGTAGCATAGGAAGAATTTTCGCACACATACATATGTAACGTACTAAAGACGAGCTCGAGAACGTATCTCATATTATTTATTCTTCTGTCAAAACGACAATGACATTTAATACTCGATTAAATAATTCTCGAGTATCGAGATTAGCTCGGTGCACCCTCGCAGCGAAAAAAATAGCGAGCGACAACTAATGATAATAATATTAATTTGCGGCGACCATAGAATTAATATTATTATTGATAGAGCATATTATAAATATATATATATATATATATATATATATATATATACATACATATATATATATATACATATACATAAATACCGCGCAAATGGAGTCCTGGACGCCTCGGCTCTATCCTTCGAGTTCCTTATGACCATAGATAGCTGCAACTTGTATAATTTTGTCTACAAAATACAATACAATATAGTCATTTATCGATTATGGTGGACGGAATTGTAAAGGAAAAAAAAAAAAGAGAAAAGAAAGAAAAAAAAATGAAAGAAAATTGATGAGTAATCAGGAGGGAACGGAGGGAGCCGAGGGGACTGTCTGAGAGATTCCTTCAAGGTCCCCCTTAAAAATCCCTCCTTTATTTTTGATTTTCGATGTCTCCGTGAGGGGGGGGCCAGCTGTGATACTTTACCCAATTCCACTTCCGCTCTGGTCGTGGTATCGAAGAACTTTATCTAGACAAAGAAATCGCTCATTGTGTTAGCAAACGAAATGCAACGTAAATTCCATTCGTATCGACGATAATGTATGTCGTGACATTCCTATATATATATATATATATATATATATATATATATATATATATATATATGGAGAAAAAAACTAATGAATTAAGCAACTAACACGGTGTCAAGATTTTTTTCATGGAATTCGCGAGCACGTTCGAGAAAGGGGGATTTGATAATTACGAGAGACTTTAATTGTTGTCGCATCAAAGATCGTGTCAATTACAATCTAGAAAAACAATGCGATTTATTCATCCTTCTTTTTTTGTTTTTCATTTTCCTGTCTTCTTTTTCTTCTTTTTTCTTTTTTGTTCTTTTTTTTCTTCGCTCTTGCATACAATTTCGTTTCCACGATGGATTTACATATGTATGTATACTTTATGCACGTTCTATTAAATACTTTGTAATATGGTGATATATAAAGTAAGAAAGAAGAAAAAAAAAAAAGAAAAAGAATTAATAATAAGGAAAAAATGAGTTTCTCGTAATTATCATGTAGTATCTGTCTCGGTTCTATCCACGGTTGGATTCTACGAATCTTTGTCTAATCCGCTTAAGCTTTTATCCGAGATATTTCCAAAGATACACTTAATTGATTATATTTACGCACAAAATGCGTTTACAATTTAACACGTTCCGCACATTGGTTTTATCTTGCGGAAACTTTTCAATTTTTCAAATCCATCTGCGGAATCATTTGAAACAATAATAACAACAGCAACAGCAAGAGCAACAACAACAACAAACAACAACAATAACAACAACAGCAACAATAACAACAATCTACGTGATTAACTCGTTATTATCGCGAGAAAATGGATATTGTATTCGTTCGAAAGCGTATTTTGTGAATTATGCGAATGCGACAACGAATTAATTAATTACTACGGTTAACTTTCTCGTCTCAGCCTTCAATTTAAATCCGCTAGCCTTAGCCTAATCGGTGTCTCTGGTAAATCAGGCCTATGAAGGTCGGAAAGCGGCATCCATGTATATTTTCTTCACACTTACCTGTTCTACACACACGCAGAGAGACAGCAGCAACAAACGGAGATACATACATACATACACACACATCAAAATACAGACACTGTACCACATACACTACCACGTACACACGCAAACGCACACACACAACATATGACAGACATACACATATGCACACACTTGCACGCGATTCCATTCAATGAGAAAGAAAACAAAAAAAAAAAAGAACAAAAAGAAAAAGAACAAAAAAAGAAAAAGAAACACGACATTTACTCTATCTCTATCTTCTCCACTATCTTCACAGAACAGCTCTACCCTTTATCGCAATAGGATTCTTCTACCTGGAATGATACGAGGTATCTTTTAGGTAACATGATTTCTACGCATACAATTAACTTAACCCACTGCGTCCGGAAATAATAATAATAATAATTATTATAATAATAATAATTAATAATTATAATAATAATATTAATAATAATTAAAGAGAAAAAAAAACCAAAAAAAAGAACATAAGCTGAGACATCGTGGAAATTGATACAGAAGTAGTGCTTTGAGTAATAAATAATTGAAGAAAATTAAGCAGATACTACCTCTTTTTTTACGAGTAAACCAAAAAAGGAAATAAAATAATAAAAAAAAATTAATTGAAACGTAATAAAACAAAAATAAGGAAAGAGAGAGAGAGAGAGGGAGGGAGTGAGAGTGAGGGAGAGTGAGAGTGAGAAGGAGGAAGAAAGAAAGAAAGAAATAAAGGAAAAGAAAAAAGGTAAAGAAAAATTATGATATTATAAATTCGTTTATTATGCGTACAATTGTACAATGTTTCGTTCGTTTTTACGCGCGCGATTTGATTTCGATTGCGGTAAACGTGGAAGTTGCAAAAAAAATATAAAGAGATGAAGAGGTAGGGGCGGGGAAATATTGAAAGGTAGGGAGAAAAATTTAACATGTTAGGACGATTATTAAAACGAATCGAGAAAACGCATATGACAAAAAAGAAAAGAAAAAAATGGCGCACATAAAAGCGAACCCTATCACCACCGCTTTCTCGTGCTTGCACAACAACATGTAGTTTGGTAAGCGAATAGATATTGTACTTCCGACACACTATTAACCTATCTTTCACTTACGATCTAATGCCAAAACGAGTAACAATAAACCATCTACAAGTCCACGATGTCAGTTTAATTTCCGGCTGATAATATATTTCGCTGGATAATCACGCTTTGTATCTCCTTTTTCCAATGTGAAAGTATAAACCGGTCATAAACGTCAAACATATATATGTATATATATATATATATATATATATATATATATATATATCAACGATATTAAAAGTCGTCGTGAAAACGTTTGATCGATAATTTAATAT